CCCCCTGGTATGCTGAGGTAGGGCTTTCCTCTGGCTTGCTGGGATGCCTCCCGTTGTGTACTGCTCCACCTCCCCCAGAGCAAGAGGGGCCTTTCACATTAATACCCCAAACTTCCTGGGCTAACAGACTACTGCACCCTGTCTTTCCAATCTTTCAGCTGTTCCAGGGTTTTTCCTGGGGCGATATTATCTGGGCTTTCAGAGGTCAGTAAGGGAGGGTGAGAGTAATTTACTTCTTACTCCACCAACTCTGGCACTCAGCGCTAAATGTAATCAGAGCTGTATATGATATGAACACTCCTGTGAAAACCTGAAATAGATTGGATGAACTGGAAGGCTAGGGGGAAGGGTTGAGCTTCAGGATTGTTATTTGAATCAGGTGAACTTAACTTATTGTGGAATACAGAGATTAATTCAAAGGTCCCTATAGGACAGTAGGGCAGCCAGGTGGAATAGCAGATAGAATGCCAGGCCTGAAGTCAGGAAGTCTGATCTTCATGAGTTCAAATCTGGCCTCAGACACTTACTAGCTCTGTGACCCTAGGCAAGTCATTTAATCCTGTTTCCTTCATTTTCCTCATCTGTAAAATGACCTGGAGAAGGAAATGGCAAACCACTCCAGTATCTTTGCCAAGAAAACTCCAAATGGGGTCATGAAGAGTCAGACATGACTGAAACAACACAACAACAGAAAAAACAAATGACAGTAATAAAGTTCTGGCCTAGATAGAATGAACTCTAAAGGTAGAAAGATGCATATGGAATGATGGTGGCAGAAGGAGGACCTGAAAGTGGCAGTGAGGAACAAGAAGTATGCCAGCTTCTCTTGGTGCTGTGTCATGGGGTGTGAGGACAGGAAGAATCAACCCAGAAGAGCATCAAGAGATGTGGAGCCTCTGAGGGAAAACCTCAAGTTTTTAGTGATTTGCATAAGATGCAGAGAATGTGAAAGGAAGAGTTTTAGTCTTAATGTAGGGGGTTGACTGAGGTTGCAGAGAGGTGAATGAGTGTTTTAGGCTTTGATTATATCTCTCTATAAAAAGAAATCATCACAGTCTCAGCCCTCTTGCCTTTTTTTGCCTTTCCTTTTTCAGAGGACAGATCAGAGGTTAGGAGAATTAAAAGATCAGACCTTGACCCTTGGATAGGAGAGATTTCTTAGACCCCAAGTGCATGGTAGCTAAGAACCTGGATCCAGCTCTGCAGAAGCATTATACTCTCATATGACTATAAGAAACAGAGACAAATAGCAGAAATTCCTGTATCCCAACCTCTAAGGGAGAATATTTTTTAGAAATACTGGGGCAGTGACAGCTTCAAGGTTTTGTCCCTAGTAACTCTGAGTTCAAGAATTTGGGGGCAACAGCTTCTAAAGATAGAAGGGGCAGTTCCTAGGCAGCACTAGCTTTTAGGTCATCTTACTATCCTAATTTGAGAGTTCTGAGACAGCCTTCAAGAGAGAACCTGGGAGCTCCTAGACAGCAAAAGCTTCTTGGGTGGGGATGAAGAGAATGGTGGTGGAGGACAGGATCATATCTCTGACTCCAAAGATAAAGAACAAGCAAAAAACCTAAGCCACAACATGGGGAACTGAAATATTTGAACTTTTTCTCTGCTATTGATTGTTTGTGGGCTAAAGTACTTTATTCATTTTCCACCTTGTCTGTAAGATGGAATAAAGGCTATACCAGACCCAATATGTATTACTATGTTGAGTTCTTTTACAGGAGCCATGAAACCTTTATGGGAGCTGAGTCTACATCTATGGAGAGTCAAGCAATATTCTGAGATTTCCCAGAGATAATACTGAGTCACTCTTGAGATTGAACTTCAGCTATCTATAAGACTAGAGCCTAGAGTACTGCTTCTTGGGTTATATTTGGAGGGGTCATCCAGGATTCCTATGGTTCATAGGAGGGGGTTGCTTTGTTCTTTAGCAATTAAATCCTTTCTTCTTTTGCAAGGAAGCTCAATTTTTTAAAATTATTTTTTCTGTTACTCATTTCTCTTTTTTTCATTTACCCAGCCCTCTCCTATACCCCTGGTGTGGAATAGTCCTTAGCAAGTAGCAAGAAATATATGAACCTAAAGAGACTCCATATAATGTTTTGTTGGGCAAAAAAGTAAATTCAAGATGCACTCATCTACTGAAGTTCCGGATCTTCACATAAGATTGCTAATTTGGAGAGCATACAAGAGCTCTGCATTGTAGACACTGATGAAGACTCCTTGGAGAGGTGGGGGATGCTTGGGACTGGGGAAGGCAGTTAGGAAAGAAGTCATTGTGTGAGCTGCCAAACAATATAGAGCCTTCTTCCTAGGTCCTCAGAGACAGAACTAAGGACACAGATTGAACAATGACTTGGAGGAAACTTGGTTTGATTTTCAGAACCTGCAAATAATTTCTAAGTAGGTTATAAGGAGTGGATAGATTAGAGAATTAATTCAAAGAGTTCTTTCATCAACTGGATGTGGTTATAGGGTAGTAAGCCCGACCTTCACACTTTGCTTTTCCCTATGAAGGGGATGCAAATATCCACTTGGCCCATTTGAAACTTACTGGAATTGACTGGATATGTTTTGTTTGGCTTTGGCTATTTTGGATCAGGAATATAACTTTATAATGGGCCCATAAACAGTTGCATTCATCTAAACCACAATACTATTTGCCTTTTCCCTTTTAAGAAGATACATCTGAATGCAACAGAACTAAAGGCAGCCTTATCTCGCAGGTTAGAGTTTTCTTTTACTCTGAGAGCTGCTAATTCCTACCCCGGAGAAGAAAGATAGGAATTACACTTGCCCTTACCCACAAGACTCAAGAAGTTAGCTCCTCCACTCTAAATGCCTAGTCCTGGAGGGAAAGAGGCTTGATTCTTTCAATCATGTTGTCCAAGCAGAAGGGAACCACATTGTCAAGTAGTGAGAGTTCCACAACTACAGCCTTCTCAGGGATTCTGAGAGATCCAGCCTTCAGTTGCCTCATTAGCTTCCATGAGTATGAGTTCTAGTTAGCTTTCTAGTGAGAGAAGAAGCTTCTTAGGCAGCATTATCCACTTGTAAACTAAAGGACAATGCAGATGCCCCTCTACTCCTAAAGTAAAAAGCAGTAAACAACTAAAGCCATAATATATTGGAGCAAAAGATTTGGACTTTGCTCTGCTAAAATAGTGAATTTTTTGGATACTGGGGGTCAAATAGGAAAGGGAAATGCAAGCTGTCAGGCTAGATACCTATATAGATATCTGGGGTGAAGTGGAATTCACTTGAATGTCTGGGCACTATCTGTCTAGAGACCCAAGTGTATTTCTCCTCCCAGGAAATCAAAGCCCTTGGGGGAAATATCATGAGACTGGAAACCTGATGGATGAATTCCTGGGGTGATAAAAGTACTCAGTAATGTAGAAGTTCCTCTAGCAACTCCATGTTCATTTCCCTTCTGAGGGGAGGCCAATTCACAGGGTGGCATGGAGTCCAGAAAACTATAAAGAGCTCTGGAGAAAGTGGACTCAACTGGGAGAGGGGATAGAATTGTACTGACTTTTCATGACCAACTAAAGTAGTCCTTTATTTTCTGTGGGTGGAATAAAGGCTATACTGTACCCAAAATACATTGTTACCTCAAGTGCTTTAATGGGAGCCAGGGACCAGGTTACCCACATTTCTGGAGGCCCACCCAAGAGCCAAGTTTCTTATGTGCAGATTTCCTAAAAATACCTACTAAAAACTCTGGGTAGAACTATAAGCCAAGGAGTTATGATTTTGAAGAATGTCTCCAAGATTGGAACTGGACCATGTAGAACTAGGGAATGGGGTTCTAGGATAAAGGACATATTAATGACAGAAGTAAGGCAATGGGCATAATGACAGAAGTAAGGCAATGGGCAAAATAAAAAAAGGCATAAATTAAGGACTGAGTAAGGCTATGGCTAAATTTCCTATGTAGAAGGGCATTGGCAGCTGACAAGTCATCTTCATCTTCGCTACTGCCCTCCCAGCCTAGGCAGTGAGTATCGGTAATCAATCCACCACATTGGAAAAGCTGACCACATCTGAGTTGGGTGATGGCCACAGGATCCTGGGGTGGAGCAGTATGCTTCCATCCATGTCAGCCCCTGGGTAAAAACTCTGTACCATACTATGGCTCTGTATCTAACTCAGAGGACATTAACAGTATTTGCCACTGAACACAAACAAGGCAATTTGGGAATCCTTCCACCCACAGGAACTGGATTAAGTTCACAGCTCCACTCTATAATGCCAGATTCTCACCTAGGAAGCTTTATGAATGCTATGTTTTTTTTTAACTTATGTACAACCCAAAGAATAGGCCAGTCCCAAATTCTTTCTCTTCCAGTAAGGGAATGAGAAGGAAAGTACAAAATAAGCAGTGTTCCCATTATACTTCCAAGCACCCCAATGAGAACTCAAACTAATACACGTGACTCTTTTATCTATACAAAAAACAACCCATTTCCTTGCACAGCCCTTACTTAAATGGTTTACTGTGATGCCCCATGAGTAAATATTGTATTGTCTGAATCTGAGATGTACTAAACATAACTTCAATGCTGTAATCAAAAACTCTGTGGCAGGTACCCATGTCATAATATGTTAACCATGACCTACTTTTATAGATTTGGGATGGAGAATATTAACCAAAGATGGATGTAAGGGAATATTTTTCAAAATTTACATGATTTTCAACAAAAAAAAATTGTTCTAATAACACTAATGTTATGATGTGACTTGAAAATGGGAATGAAATGTTAAATATTGTTCTTTATTGAGAGAACTTTCATTTATGACCTTTTTAGTAGTTGAGATCAGTTTTTAACTACTGTTTTAAAGATCTGAAATCAGGTGAATGTGTCTAAGTAACATTAAAATGAAAAAAACTCTGACAGTTATATGGACAACTCTCCATTCAATTGGGAAGGAACCAATTTGGACAGATGGGAGAGAAATAGCAAAAAAGGCATACAAATGACGCCATTCCATTTCATTGATTTTGTGAACATTTATTTGAACACTGCTTTGAACATTTCTTTGAACATTTATTTGAACATTTAAACATCGATAAACATTTAAGATATCAACATATACATGCATAATGTAATTGGGTTACGGCACTCCACAACAGATTTACGGGGACGATAACTTAGTTGAATAACTAAGTCATTTACGGCACAAATTTCACCAGCACCAATCACAATATAGCCCTTAGCCCCAAATGGTGGTTTTTAACTCTAGAGTTTTATAGAGTTTTACTCTATAGTTTACTCTACAGTTACTTATCCTATAGTTAAAAAGAGAGAAATAACATCAAATAGAGAAAGATACATTTAACATAGATATTAGTACCAGTTTAAGATTTATGTAGCGCCAAGAATATATTAATTAGCTACTGACAATCTAGAATGACAATCTAAGTACCACTTAAAACTAATGGCGCTTAAGGAAGAGAACACTGAAGTTAAAGGTATATAGGTTGCTGGGTTTTTTTGTTTTTTGGCATACTTAAAGATCTACATTTACTCACAGTTTTTTTTTGTTTTTTGTTTTTTGCATTTTTACAGTATTATGTATCACAGAAACACACATCATTATCACTGGAAGGGACCTTAGACCCTTCTTTTACAGACACAGAATTTACATGAGTGACATACTAACATTGTGCCAATTTCAAAGGACCCTGAGGCCTTAGAGGTGCTAAGTGATTTGAGAGAGCTTTTGCTTCACTCAGTGATCTTCACTCTTTGCTCCTCTACAAGGACCTCTAATTCAGCATGTTCCAAAGGAAATTCTTAGACGTGATGTTCAGGAAAATTTTAATATATGAGACTTTCTACCCATTGATCTCATTTGGTTATGAGAATGGGATATCTGCAAACTGATTTGAAGTCTTTGGGGGGAAAAGATGCTCCATAATTATTGAAAATTATAACAATACTTATATTTCAGTGCTCTAATTTGAACTAGCAGTACATGAGGCAGAGGCCCGAGTCACTCTGTCTCATATCAACTGCTGTAGATTCCATAAAATAGATAAATGGTTTAAATTATTATTCATCTCAGTTTTTTCCTTCATGTTCAAAACACTAGCCCATCTTTCCTTCAAATGTCTCTCTTCATTTCAGAGAATCTCCTTGTCAGAAGAGTCCTCAGAAAGCCAACTAGTCCAGCTCACACCTTCCTTTCCCATTCAATAGGACAAGTGGACTCCATTAAAGAATGAAGTGAGCCATCTGCATCTGGGATTCTAGTTGCATGGTAATGTTGTTATAAAAGGAGCAAAACTGCCCAAAGGGAGCACTGACTTCTCTCACAATCTCTTGGCACACAACCACCTTTTGTGGATGTCTCCAGAGGCTATGTACAACACCTCAGTGCCAATGTACAAGCTGTTAGAGTTTTGAGATCATAAATATGATAGAATTAGCCAATAAATTTCATGGAGGGGTTACTACGTACGTAGTACCAATCTAGATGTTGTGGGGTTACATACAGAAGTACAATGTCTGGTCCTGGCCCTCAAGAAGTTTAAAATCTAGTTGGGGAAAAAAAAACACATACATACATAAAAGGTTAAATAATGACTCAGAACAACAAAGAAATCCCTGTAAGGCAGAATACAATTAAGTAACAGACCAATGGTATGAAGAACAGATTATGAATTTACATCATTGTCCTTTTTGGTGAAAGAAGTGGGTTTGGGCTGGGCCTTCATGAAATGTAAATTCTAAGGGGGCAAAAAACTTACTGTAAAATATTTCCAAGGTAAATAGTTTTGGTATAAATCCAAACATTTTATTTGATGGGCAAATGTTTTTCAACCTCATAAGAAAAACTTTTTGTCTGTTACATTTGTAAATGTCAGATTTAAACGACAGCAAGAGGGGAGGAATGAGGAAAAAACACAAAAGTTGTGTCAATGTGACATTTACTTATGAGTATAATTTATTAGGGTTCAAAGCTTTCTTATTAACAGACTAAACAGATTTGGATTTCTTAATTTGTACATTTGGTTTCTTTAGGTGTAGAACTTAAATTTTGCAGATAATGCTTTCATTTCAGAATATTTAAAAAAATTTTTAAATGCTTTTATTATTCTGGAGATCTGGATGTCTGCAATCTTTGGCAATAAAGTAAGAAAATACCAATAAGTGTTTTTCTAATTATCATGTAATTATACCAGTAGGATATCAAATTGCTTTTGAATTAAAGTTGCCCTCTTTTATAATCACCAAACTAATAAAATTAAGATGCAACAGATGCGTTCAAGCTAAACAATCTAGGAAACCAAATATGTTCATAAATATTTAAGAATATTTCTAAAACTGCTGAAGTGAGGCATTGGATTCATTGCTATGTAATTGATTGGCATTGACTATTTGGTGCATATTAAGAATCTGTAAAGTTTATGCTAACTAAAAGATAGTGGGTCCAAGCATTCAACTGAGCATCTATTCCTCAGCAGTCAACTGATGTTTCATCTGAACTAGAGGCATCTGTGTACTTTCATGCAGTTTTCCTGACCACTTTAGAAATCACACAGCCAGTCACTAGAAGCCTGCAACCAACTGGATATAATTCACACTAACTGAACATGGCTGAGTAGCTGCCATCTATGAAAAAATGACTGTACCCGGGATGGTGGTATTATGCATTTTTCTGATTCAATATATTTACAAACATACAAAACTTGACAGTATTGATCAAATTAATGCCTAGCTATTTTCTTTAACTTTTAAATATCATTAAAATTCATTTGATTACATATACTATACTCTACAACATACTTAATATTGTACTGTTTGGTATTTACAGCTGGCCAAAAAGAAAATTATACATTAAATAAAAATTACTTAGCTTTGAATGGGTAGCAACATTCATCACAATCTGTATAACTGAACCCAAAAATGTCAAACCATCTCTTAGAAGGGATATTGTTTGACAATGCAGGCAGGTATACCTTTACAATAGCAGTGGGATGTAGAATAAAGCACATTCACTCCAGCAGACTATTGAGAACCCTTTAGAGTTTTCTTTCCCCAAACTTGTTAGAGACCATCTTTACGTAGCCATCACTCTTTAATTGGGGTTCTATGCTAACAAGCAGATTTTTTGCTTTGGGCTTGTTGTTTGTTTGTTTTTCTCCATTAGGATCTGAGTCACCTATGATCCTAAGATCATCTCTCTGTTTGGCATAGCATCTGTCTCCACAAGAAATAAGAAGATGCACGTATGAGAGAGGTTACCACATAAGCAAAAAATAACTTGTTTTTAGTCTTCTGAGTTCAGACATGATACACTATATGCAATATCTACTTCAAAAGAAAATTTGATCACAGAATATTAATCTGATTTTTTCTGGTATGCCCATCTACATCTCTAGTACTTGCTAATCGCCATACTTAGTATTTTGTACTGATACTATAAGCAACCAAACCTCAAGTTTCCTGATTCTGCTAATATTTATTCATAGTGGTTAACATATCTAAGGTCATTTTATTCATCTTAGAATTTGGAATCAGAGCCCCCTTTCAAGTATAAGGGGCCTGCCTGGTTAAACTAATTTTTGATAGGTTTTGTTTGTTTGTTTGAACCAGATAAAACATTGTATGTCCAATATAGATATTTCCGACCCAGCATCCACTCAATCTCATAAAGAAACAGTCAAAAGTTGGCAGCTATGGCACTCAACATATAAACCAAGATGCCCCTAATTCTATAGCATGCAAGAGTATAGTTGCTAAGAAGTTCAACTGACCATCTATTTTAATAGGTGTTAAATAAACTGGTATAGGTAATTAAATACATTTAATTGGACTAAATTGTAGTAGTATCTCAATACGATTTCAATCATGTAGATGATGCCTATTTATTTTGCATTACAATTATGGTCTACCTGGTAAGGGAGAATATTGAGGAAATCATTCTAAGTCTCAATTTTGTTTAGTTGTAGTTTTAAAGGTCTTTCACCTTTATGTACTAGAAATTAATCATATATGGTATCTTTCAAAAAAATAATATGAATTGAATTGGGAGACTGATAGGTTGGTATGCATTTGATCAAATTAGAATCGTAATTACCAAAGATATTAAAAGGGACATACAGGACCTCCTTACAATTTAGGGATTCATGATCACAAAATATTTACTTATGGCATGCCATTTAACTGTCTTCCCACTGCAGTGTGAAGAGTATTTAATTAAGACTTTAGTTAATTAGCCATTGTATAACACTTTTAAGATGGTAAGATGTCAATTGTGCTTATTTAATCTTTGGACCGTCACAATAACCCTGTGATGGTAAGTACTACAGGTATCCCCATCCTAAGAATGAGGAAACTAGATGCTTAGAGAGGTACAAGATGACTTGCCTCACCTCTTACAATGCTCTGATGACATTAAGCATTTAATACGCTGTAGTACTACACTTAAGGATATACTCTTTCCCATGGCATGCTCAAAAAAATAAATTTAAAAAAATTGATGGTACATGAATAGGAAAGAATCTAAAAGGGAAAAAAAGGCTTTTAAAAATAATCAGTACATGATATATTTACGAATTTCTCAAAGGGGAGAGGAATATCTAGAATGTATTATTTGTGAATTATATCTTCTGAAAGTTTTAAATTCAGTTTCACAGACCTTGAACTGTCAAATCAGATTTAAAATAAAAAATTTAGTTTTCCATGTACACATGGGTTTTTAAATAATTTTTAAAAATTTGATTCATTAGAAGCTGGATCTGATAAAGTATGATAAATTCAATAAAGGTCCAACCAATAATTTGATTTGCCTCAAGATAATCTCACCTCATCAAGTTTTCTTTTAAAGATGGGACTTGGCAGAACTAAGAATGTCTCTTCTTAATTAATACAATATAAATGAATATATCTTACACAGTTTACTTATTTATAGCTATTCAAGCTCAGTTTACTAATTTTCTTAACTTTCATTTCTTTCTTGTTTATCCGTTTTCACTTGTTCTATAGGCCAAGACTTTCCATTTAGTTTTGAAGTAAATGCCAAGTGAAACGTTATAAAGGAAGGTGCACTGTACATATAGGATAAGGAGGGAAGTAGTTGAATAGGAAAAAAATCTCGCATTTAATTTATTAAGGGTTTGGTATCCAAGATATATAAACAGTTAAAAGATATATATACATGTATATACATATATATATATATATATATATATATATATATATATATATATATATATATATATATATATATATATATATATTTGTCTTGTAGATTAATGCATGAAAAAGGAACATTCACCTGAAAACACAATTAGGCTACTCCTTTGCTGCCTACACAGATAATATCAATAATTACTAATTTACCTTTATAGCTGTGTATTCACTGTCAGACACTTTCAGTATAAATTTTCCATATCTATGAACCCATAGATATTTGCCAGATTTTGACTAATTTTTTTTTACTTATTTGACTAATATTGACAAGAACTTAAGAATTTCTTGTGTACTTTAAAATTTCATTAGTGTATTACAGAAATTATCTGTAAAAACTGATTTGAAGGCAAGTTTATTCAAATTTAGCGGCACTGTATGGCTGAACAGACACAAAGTATTATTGTAGACCCCATGAAAAAAGAAAAAACTACCATAGATAAGGCTATGGCAAAGCTAGCAGAATTGAAGTGTAGAATAACTCTAATCTTTCTGGTACCCAGTTTTTCCAATGAATGGATAACCTACACACACTATGAATGTATGGCAGATCCCAAATTATTTTTCCCCAAGATAAATTATTTGGTAGAGGAAGATCAAATGTACCATTCTCATCACTTTCTTTTAATTTGGGGGGGGGGAATAAAACTAAAGTTATTTTGACAAAACCACATTTTTTGATAGAATTTAGGTCTAGAATTACCAAAGCAATGAATCTTCAAGAAAGCACAAGTCAGTCTCTCTGGGTTACAAATTCTTCAACTCTAAAACAAGAGGACTAGACTAGACAGGTTATTCATGAGGCTCTTTTAGGATCTGAGATCTAGAGCTGATCAGAGACTATGAATGGAAGATAGCCAAATAAGTAAATTTTATGATTTTCACTAGGGAATGGATATTACAGTTTCATCTTTAGAAGGTTTTGTTTTTTTTTTTTAAATTAGCCAACTTATTGAAGATGGAAGGGAATCTCTCTGTACTTAACCTAAATTATGGAAATTTGCAATGTCCTTTTTTATGTATTCCTAATTGTCAGATTTAATCTTGTATTTGTTCAAAGCCACAACACTTACACAATTTGACATTACTCTTTAATTGCCAAAGAATGCATGGTTTTTCTTCTGTGATCTCCATCTGCTAAATTTTAAAAATCAATGTGGTTCAAGATTTTTGAAAATTATATGATGCATCTACAAAAGCCATTTCCAAACAAGTACATTTAGTTTAAAAAAAAAACTTTACTTTTTTTTCCACATATTCTCAAAGGGACTTCAAAATCTTATCTTGTTGGATTTAACACAAGTACTCTAAGACAATCAATGGTTCAACACACTTTAATCTCTGATGAAAGGGTCTATTTCTGCTACTTAGACCTATACTGAGGGGGAAAAATAGAAAGGAAAATTCTTTTGGATTATAATCAAAGTGTTAGTTAAGTGACACATAATTTGGAGGGTTAGATTGTTAGAGGGGTTTTTTTTTAAAGTTTTCTTTTCAATCTGAGATCTAATTTTTTATGTTAGGAGAGTATGTCATTATTTCACTAAAGTACACAAATATTTACCACGTGAACACTTGAATAATGGACTACTTTACAGTAAGTGTTTTAATTTTTATCAAGTTCACTTTCTTTCGTAACTAGACTGAGGAATCATGTATTTTAGGAGCTCTGTCATCCATTTCTGTAGTGAGCTCATGAAACATGATCTGTCTAGTAGAAGGGTCTGTACTGGGAGCAGTGCCCACCACCCCTAGCGTGATGGCCCTGGAAGTGCTGGTAGTGTGCACTGTGCACATGCTGGGACAGCCCAGACCAAGCCACATGCTGAGATGGGTGAGCCTGATAATGGTGCATGTCAAAGTACTGAGGAGCCAGCTGATAGGAATGCTGCATGAGAGAACTGTCTTGCCTATGCTGAGGCGCAAACAGAGAGGGAGGGGCATCCTGGGCCAACCTGTGCTCGGCGTTGTAAAACTGCCCAGCTGCCTGGGACCTGGAGTGACTGGACTTGTGGTGTCTGCCCCGGGAGAATTCTCGGTGGTACTCGCGTTTGTTGTAGCAGCTCCTTCCAGCCTCACGAGGCTGGGGGCACCAGTGAGCAGCTGGGGGTGCTTCTCCTCCATAAGCACCTAACAAGGGAAAAATAGCCATATACACAAAAGCAAAAACAAGACAAAATTCCAATACAACTAAGACAGATATATATTTTGGCATGTCTTTTCTCCCCAGTGGCCCTTTTTTACTTACTCAAAGGCAACAAAACTCCAATAAACTGTTCTCTGTGATTTTTCCCATCATTTCCCACACTATAAAGTAGCTACAAAGTAGAAAGTGTATGGGTTTAAAGCATTTGAATGAAAAATGAATTCAAGATGGATAAGGGTTTTTGGTGTTACTTTTTAAAACTGTAGAGAAATCTCTTTCTGGAGAGTTCGACTAAGCAATTCCCAAGTCAAGTCACATTATTTACACACCAAGATTCTGATAGTCAGGCCGGTATTCCTGACGGAACTCAGCAACAGGTCTGTACTCCTGATGATACTCAGCAGCAGCAGCAGCAGCAGCAGCAGCGGCGGCGGCAGCAGCAGCAGCACGATACTCCTGGTGGTACTCCTGATGGTACTCCTGTCGGAACTCCTGATACTCCTGCGCAAACTCCTGCTGCCCGTACTCTAGCTGCCCAAATTCTAGCTGTCCATAATCTTGACCCCCAAACTCCTGGCCAAACTCCTGGCAGTATTCCTGTCGGAAATCCTGCTGGATAAGCTGCCTGTGATCATGCTGGACCATCTGCCTGCGATCCTGCCTGCGATCATGGCGGCTGGAATGCCTGTGATCATGTCTGCTAGATTTCCTCTGATCATGTCGGCCACCCTTTCTCTGATCTCTGTGCGCTCCCTGTCTGTTCTGCTGCTGGGAAGTTGTTCTTTCCCGGGCTCCTAGTCTATTGTCCTGGCGGGAAGCCTGCCTATTGTCCTGGCGGGAAGCCTGCCTATTGTCTTGCTTGTTCTCCTGCTTTTCCTGTTTGTTCTCCTGCTTATTCTCCTCCTTGTTCTCCTGTTTCTCCTCCTGCTTCTCCTCCTGCTTCTCCTCCTGTTTCTCCTCCTGTTTCTCCTCCTGTCTATCATCCTGCCTATTCTCCTGGCTGTTTTCCTGGAGGGCAAGCTGCCTGGGTTCTGGTCTGCAACCCTTCCGACCATCCCTGCTGTAACTAGATCTGCTTTTTGACCTGTACTCTGCCCTCTGCTTCTTTCGATTCCGTCCATAGTATTTCTTCTTGCTCTTAGCTGCCTTTTCTTTTTCATCATCACTGAAATCAACAGCCTGGAGAGGGAAAAAGTACATTACTGCTACTATATGATATCCCCAACTGATGCTGGAAGCAATTAATGCAGATTAGGGATCTCAGATCTACATTTAAAAAAATGCATTATTTTAATTAAACAAAATGCATGTCACCAAGTTCAACAATGCTAATTTTGGTTTCAGTAATGAGAACTATTCATTTGTTCATTTTATAATACTTCTGTTAACATTTCATAATGTTTGGTGATAAACTGGAAAGATAAGTTTCATTTATGGAATACCATTAGCCTATATACAGTAGATAGAAAGATGGCCTTAAAGCCAGGAACACCTGGCTCCACTTCCTGCCTCTGACACATACTGGCTGTGTTACTCTGGCCAAGATACTTAGAAACTTTCAGTGCTTTAAGGCAATCCTCTCAGGCCATGAAGTTGCAAAGAAAGTGCTGAACCTCACTCATAGAGGGAAGTTTCTTCATCCAACAGCTCTTAGCACTAATGAAGTCACTGGTTTAGTCCCTAAAAGTGTGACAAATCAGAAAAAATGGACTTACTTCAGGTGGTGGCTCTAGGTCATTCTTCCAGGAAGCATCAGAACCCCTATCCCTAGAAAGGCAGAACAAAAGCAATGCATGCTGTATACCAACATAACCTCAAGGAAGAGAGAAAATGTTAATAAAACAAACAGCAAGCAATAGAGAAGAGTTAAGTACTAAAACTATGAAATTTAGCTATGCCAATTAAAATTATGGTAAGAAGTACTTACCTAATCCTGTCTGTGAATATGTAGCGAGTGAAGTGCTGGATTGAGGGGGCAAAATACATGATGTCTCGGATTTTGATATCCTTTCTCTTGATGTGTTCCAAACAACTGAAGCGTAGGACATAGAAGGGATGTGCAACAGGGCCAAAGATTTCAAAAATCTGATTGGGGAGGGTTGGGAAAAACAACAACAAAAGCACACAAGTGCAGTTTAGCTACAAATACAATTTTCCAATATTTCTAAAGCAAGAATTTAAAAGCAATTTTATAAACTTTAACATGATTTAAATAAAGTGTTCATGATAGTAGGTATGGTGTTGGAGAGGCTGGCAGCCTTACTGCTACTAGCTTTGAAAATCATATCTTTTCTCAATTATAGGAGGAGGGAAAAAAATCTATTGATATGATGCACTGTCAACTTCATTGGGTAAAATTTTCTCTTTACAAATTTGTACAAACCTTTCCAGCAGCATGTCGGTTGCTCTTAAAGATCATGCTATCTTCACAAACTGGTGGTAGATCAGTCACAGATTCAATTATTACTGAAAAACCAGACAGAATAAGTAATTTGTTGCATTTTAAAAAGGCGTTAGCCAAAGGTAGTTTACACGTAAATGTTAATGTAATGTTGAAGCTGATAATTTCAATGCAAATTAAACGAGAATTGAAGGCAGGATCTTACACCTTGAAACCTATTCTTGGATGTGGGAAGTGCACTATTAGCTAAGAAGAGGTTTTGCTGTTTATAAGGCATAGCCAACCATACAAATCATAAAATTTTTATAAGTTATGAATTCAACCATATTATATATCACCAAATTTTAGCTTTGGGCATTTATATAAGCAAACAATTGATAAAGACATTTTAAAATATCATAAAAATCCCCCATTTTTAGAGGTTCCTCTCACTTCTAAGACTTTTTCCACCCCCACCCTCCACGCCTTTCCCTTTATCCTGCCCTCAGGCATTATTTGATGACACATGAAAAGCTTTTACAGGACTCAAAGCATCTTCTGCTGGCACAGGTGGTATAGCAGGTATGGATTGCACAATAATATGGTCTTTTTCATCACAGCCATATCTTTGAACTTCCCAGATTCTATTGATTCTATTGTACTTTTTTTTCTTAAAAAAAAAAACAAAATAATTAATCGAGACCCATTGGAATCTCTCATTTTCTCATTGATCTAATACATCCTGATACTGATCTAATAAAACCCTGACATAAAAATGTAAAGAACAAATAATACTATTACATATATACATGTAATAAGTCAAAACATTTGAAAAGTGAAATTATTAAAATTTTATTAGATGAAATATTTATATGGGGTAGTACATGTACCCAATTTATTCACAGGCAATAAGACTAGTGAATTAACAAATTTGGGGCTGGGTCTCATACAGCCAGGAATAAAACTGAAGGTTTGGGAAGAAGCATTTTGCTTTGTATGACAAACAAAATGTTTTATATGTCTTAATTTGGAGGACTCTGGACAGTTATCACTACCAAATATGTAAGAAATCACCGTATTGAAAGACTACTTGTGACCCAGGGCTGGCCTGAGCCTATCATTTTCATTTTGTAAATATTGCCTTCTTTCTAATGACATGGAACAATAAAAGTGAGGATCTTAACTCTGACTTGCTATGTGATTTTGTGTGAGTTTCTCTCTGTGCTTCAAAGTCATTGTAATTATGGAATTCTTACCTACTTCGCAGGTAACTGTGATGACAAATTACTTCATTATGCACTTTTCTACATCATATTTTTGGAGTAAATGGTATATTAACTTCTTATATATTTCAAAATTTTGAAAACTGTACAACTTCATGCAAAGTACTGACAAAACCAAGAGAATCCAAGAATTTCATAATGATTCCCTAAAGAGCAGTACAAAAATCACAGTATTTAAATATAAAGAAAATCCTTTTTACCTTTTCCTTAATTGATTGCAAGATAAAATAACAAAGAAAATATAGATCACTAAGAAAATGTGTCAAACAGTTAAAGATAAATAGTGAATATTGTTAACAAAATATTTTACATACCTAGTTTTTCGATAATACCTGAAACCCTCCCAAAGGGCTGTAGTTCAACACTTTCAGGCAGAATGAGAGTCATGTCATCTACTGGCACACATGCCTACAAACAAAAGTGTTAATTTAGCTACTAAAGACAACGGGGAAACCTACTACTCACATTTATAACAGCACTTTAATGTTTATTAAGACACACTGCATACATGATCTCACATGATCCTTACAATAACTCTAACAAAGTAAGCAATTCAAATCATGCCATCTTCTTTTTTCAGACATTTTCACAATGACATTGATGAGATCCTTCCCACTATGGATATAGGTGGATCCGTATGACCCTGGAGAATGCATGGGGCTATGGATCAACTACTTTGTTCCCATCCTATCCTACCCAAGAACTGGTAAAAAAACAAAAACAAAAACAAAACACACTGAAGACAAAATTCAGTCTGGACCTTGTATTTCAACTTTAACCACACAATTAATCTTAATTTATCAACAACTCTAGAGAGAGCACTTTAATAAGCTCCCTTGGAAAATCCCTTGATTGTTTAGACATCATCACCAAAAAGCATTAATTAATTAAATGTTTAATTGTGCATGACACTGTTTGGCACTATGCCAATAGAACCAGACCACACCATTAAATTTTCCTCTTAAAAGACAATGCTTATTATTTTGAACTCTCATTACCTCCCTCAGTGTTCTCTTCTTATTTTTTCCAAAATTATTGTTATTAGCCAAAGACCATAAAAACGTATTTGAGAATTAGCTCACACAAATCCAAAACAAATAAAAATCCCATCCCAACAACAAAAAATTTAGTGTAACAAAAATAATTCAAAAGACAAGGCAAATTTTTCTGTAATTCACTTGTTTACACAATGTTCCTCAAATATGACTTTTAAAAAACTGAATCAAATTTTAAATGCACAAAGGATCTCCTTAATGAAGTGAATTATGGAAATTATTTATTTTGAACTACAGAGAATCATTCTTTAAATTATCTATTATGAAAGATATTTTCACTGAGCAAGGTACACTTGTATTTTGATTTTAAGTGGGATATACAAGTAGAAAGCCTTTTTCCAGTCTTTCTCCATTTATTAAAATATCTTATAATGAACCATCTAATTCTGGGTAGCAGGTACAGAAATTTTAATTAGCCAACCTGCTCATTTCAATTGCAAAGAATAGGTATACAAAGTGTACAGCTCTGATTAGGGCATTATCTTTACCTCCATAATGGAAGTCAAATGTATTTTTATACAAACACAGGTCATAATTAATTTTAAATCTTTTAAGACATGCAGGATATATAATTTCTATGGGTCAGTTATTTCATGTTTAAAAACACATTTGCCCAAGAATAATTATGGTTTGCAATAAACTAAGAAAAATGAGATTTTCTTCTCATTTCAGTTGAAAGAAACAATTTCCAATTAGACTAGTATATGTTTTAAACACTAATAGAAATGACATGGCAGCCACAAGAGGTGACTATAGCTGACTGTGATTCTAATGGTCAGTAAATGTTAGTCAACTATATCCCTAGCGCTAACTGAAAAATTCCATTCTGTGTCAGCTGCTAGGTTTTGGAGCCGCCTGAGCATGTAAATGTTATTTTTCTTAGGTCAGTTAGATTTACTACAGTCAATTAATTGAAATCTAACCCCATCTTAAAATACACAAAAGCTATACCATTAACCAAGTAAGAGTTATGCTATGTCACGTTATGATCGATTAGCCACTAGGGCTAATTTCCATTTTCCTAAGAGGAATGGAATTCATTTCTTCCTCTGCTAGAGTACAAGATGTTCATGAAGGCTTCTGGTTAGAGATAAAATCTCATAGTACATTAAGCATTGTGATATTGAAAAAAACAAGACAACAAGAGTACAAGGTATATGGTCACTCACAAATGAACCACACCCTGAAAAATGATACCTATTATTTAATACCCACATTTGTATTGTTTTTATAGTTTGCCAAAAAAATTTCCATACATATTCTAATGAAATCAATATTTCCATAGTGTTTTAAAGTTTACAAAGTGCTTTTGTCATAACAAAGATGAGATTCAAGTATTTATAACCTTTTCAGATGTAAGAAGCCCAAGGCTCAGAAAGACTAAGTGATGCATCCAAGGTCACACAGCTAATAAATGCCAGAGGTCAAATATCTTGATTCCAAGTCCAGAGTCTTTTCACCACCAGACATGCTATTTCCCATATTTAATCCTACAACCTTGTTAAGTAGGCAGGACAAGTACTATTATTCCCATTTTAAAGATCAAACTATTAATGCTGACATAAAATCTAACAGGATAAGTGGAATATGTACTTATTCCTTCATAAAAACTAAAATGTTTTTTCTATATGGAAAGATGTTATCATCAATAGGACTTATGCCTCAGATTGTTTTTTATTAAGGATCATATTTTTTCAGTAAGAAATACCATGGTCCAACAGCTAATGATACCAGGGGACTTGTGGAAGGTCATTGCTGTTAGTGACATCCTAAACATATACTTTTTTGCATTAGAGAGTTATGATAAATTAGGCCATAAAGAGTTTGGGGCCAACAATGCGAGGGCATAAATGCCTGGTTAAGCCACCTGAATTTTAATTAGTAGAATATGGAGACATTTAAGATTTTTAAGTAGGGGTGTGGTACTATTTAAGATAGGCAAAAACCCCTCTGGTTTTCAATATCACTTCTAAAGATGGTCAAAATGTTGTTGATACAAAATAATTATGGAATGGTCTCCATGCAGTACAGCTCCTAAAGAACAGGATTTTTGTTTGTTTCTTTTTTATCTCAACTCCCATGTCCTCATTTGTAAAATAGGGAAAACATTAAGTACTTAAAGTATATAACTTCTAGAGCTGTGATGAGGAAAGCACTTTGCAAACTATATGAATACGCCATCATTATGATTATTATTTCAACACACCTGCTACACTCAGAGATGCAATTAAGCATAAAGTCAACAATGCTTTCTCCCACCTCATTCTCATAAATGGTCAGTACCTGGAAAACCATTAAAACATCTTCCTCCAAAACAACCCTAATTTGATCTTTCTCCTTAGCTCTTCTTTCTTTTAGGCACACTGGTTTTCACAGGTCTTACAAAGATCTCCCTCAACAACCCCAATTGAGTTCCCAGACATTTGCCTGTAGAACTCCTGCACAGCCCTAGGTCAACTTAACAGTGACTTCTCTCTGGCCATTCTAGACATCATGCATTTTTTTGAATCTCTTTGGACCACTACTTCCATCCCAGCTACTGATATCAGGAATGGAATCCAGTCCTCCCATGGAAAAATTCCCTTTTTCTCCTAGGGAAGAATCTACCCTTTTTCCTCTACTCTGAGATGGACAAAGAAGTCACCCATGACCTTAGGGGCAAACCGAATAGAACATTCACTCTTCAGATAAATAAGGATTTTATGAATTTAGTGGCCAGAGAAATAGCTGTAGTTAACTTTTCTCCAAAATTAAACCCATTTAAAAGACCAAAGTAACAAAAAGCAAAATCTGTTAGACAGATTCACTAAACAAATACTGGTTGCAAATATTTTAAGTAGCAACCATGCAAGTGGTGAGACAACAGGAAACTAAAGCAGCCTCCATCAGAACCAGTGAGAAAATAATCTACAAGTGCAAACTTTGAACGATGGTTCCTCCCCCCCACACACACACCCTGACGCCCTAACCACCACACCCTGACCCCCCCACACCAACCAAGGCACCAAACAAGAGATTCTCCCAAATTAAAAAAGCAACAGGGACTTTATTAAATCATAATCCATCACCACATCATTTATGTAAACTCTCCATTAAGCAGTTAAATAGCTTGATGGTTAGACTTTGTCACAGCTTCAGTGGCAGTGCCCTGTGCAAACAAATTACCACCACCTTTCATGTAACCCTCTTCTCCAAGGCAAGTAACAATAGGAAATAGACTTTGGTTTAGACGATGAAATTAAGTCAGACATTCCTTAAATAAACACTCCCTTTGTGAAACATCTTTTTTTTAAACTCGGCTGTTTATGTCATGTGTTCTGGTTTTTTTTTTTTAACATGCTGAAGGAAAAAATTATGATCATATAAAGAAATGCAAATGATCTATATGCAAAAGGCTTAAAACTTTAAGGAAATTACAATAAAAATTATTTTGCTAGGTCAATTATGACTGGAAAAGGATAGTCACATATGACAAACATTGCTGTTTTCTCTCTTTCCTGTCTTAATTTTGAGAGAGAAGGCAAACTGAGATTTTTAGGGTACAAGGTGACCAATGCCTTTTTTAAGACTAGTAGAAGGCAGTTACGGATCAAGGCTGCTGGACAATCAATCTTAAGTATCAGCAAGATCTGTAACAGCCTGGATGCCTTAAGTCCCCAAATTCCCATAAGTGAAAAGACCAGTTAAAGGTCTCTATTACTGCTCTTAAAAGATATATATTTTTATATCAAAGTGTCACTGCAAACAGAGGCAGGCAGGAAATAAACAGCCTCATTGGTGCTAGTTTTAATACTCCCAAAACAAAGAAGTGATAGCCAGGACCTTACTCTCACAATTTTATTGAGTCCTGCTCATCTCTAGATACATTCCAAGTCTGTCTCTTAAAAGACACTGGTGGAGTAAAAGAATGACAAATACTAACACCTAATCAATTTCTACTTCTGTTTCTTGAAATGTCTTAACTAAAACAATGATTTCCCATTATTATTGAGCCCAATTCCCTAACCTATGGATCAAAAAGCATGGTTGGTTACATGTAAAGTTGTAAATCTGCATGGGGAAGTGTCACCAACAGCTAAGAGGCAGGAAGAGGGATATATTTCCTAACCTTTGGCATTGGAAAATTTAGAAAAAGAAGCATATGGTGTTTGAACTGGAGGGACCTTAAAAATCATCAGTCCAAGTCAAGCCTTAATTTCAAAGATTAAGAAACTAAGGCAAAGTCGGGGATATCACCACCTTTAAAAGGTTTATTTTTTAGCTTTCTGAGGTAGGAACGTGGGAAATGGGCTCAATGTGTTTGGAAAATTATGTTAAGAAATAAAAGGGACTCAGATTCTTACATCAGCAGCAGGTATGTCTTTCTTTTTAAAGCAGAAGATGCTCTTCTGTTTTGGTGCCCGAGCTTGATCATCTTCTTCCTCATCATCTTCGCCACGAAGTTCTCGGATTCTACAGGATATGACAGAGCTTTCGGAACCCGAGTCACTGCAGGAAAAAAAGTCATAAATTTAGTAAACTCTTCTTAGAACATTAAAATTGAAATATACTTTGCCTAAACCAAAACTGGAAAATCGGTGGCTTGACCACTTTAAAAGACCTGTTTTACATCTATTCCTTACCGTAAGAGGATTTCATGAGTTGAATCCTCTCCCCTCAAAAATGCATCTCTGGTGTCTATTCTAACAAACAGAATGGTATTTTCAGTCAAAAGAAATAGTCTCCTGCCAGGCTGGTCTTTGAAGCTTTTTCCAATTTGCCGGGCATTTCTCAATTAACACCTACCTTCCATCTCCTCTTGCAATTTTTCATTTCAACAATGTTAACTTCAACTAAATCGAGTAAAAAACAGAAACATGATAGTATTTTTTCCCTCACAAATACTGAACCCCTTTCTGATATATATTTTCCCTAATAGCTTAAAACACCTTTAACTCACCTGCCTTCCTCACGGATTCGGATTCTTAAATAGGCGTATGCACACCCCATTCCAAGAAAAGCAAAGGCTGCCGATATCTCGTACACTTTGCAGGGAACCATTGGTATCATTTTGTAATACAAGCTCAAGATGAAACTAATGAAACTTCACTTTTTTCCTAGTACCATCACATCTGCTAAGTTTCTGAGAAGTATTTTTGAATTTGCTAAGATAGAATTCAGAGCTAGAAGGAGTGTTAGAATTCATCTAGCCCAAGAGTAAAGGGGAGAGACGAAGGAAAGTTTCCTTCTCTCCCCCAAAGAAGGAGTGGGGTAGACGACAGTACTGCACTGCCAATATATACCATCTCTAGCCCAGCCCCCTCAGCACGCCCAGCCCCCTCATCCTGTCCAACCTCCTCCTCGCACCCAGTCTGCTACTCAATCAGGGTAAAGTGTCAATCTTGGACCACGCCCCCTAACCTACACACAAAAAAAAATCTATCTCCTCTGCAGTGGAAAGAGCACCGCACTTGGGAATAAAAAGAAAAAAACAAAAAACAAAAACCTGGGGTTCTGATCCCCTTTTCAGTACTTTTTATCAATTAAAACTATAAGCAAGTCCTACAACCTCTATGAGATAAAATTTCTTCATCAAACGAGGAAACTGGAATCTGCAGGAACTATTAATATAATTACTAAAACAACAATCCTTTGCTGTAAGAACAAAACGAGAAAACAAATACAAAGCATTTTGAAAAAAATAAGTACTAAATATGAATGCTCTTGGCTATTAATTCTATCCCGTTCTGTCCAAAGATAACTAAATTTGTGCAATTATGCAGAAAAAAAAATTAACTTTCACAATTAAGTATAAACTTCAAAGTAAAATTCAACTAATTTAGCAAAGAAGGAATGCTCCAGGTATTCAAGCACCTAAGGTTTTCAATAGGGCCAGGCGCAATGTAAGGGCTCTGAAATAAGAGTAAAGAATAAAGTATCAATATCTTGGGTCCAGACTAGATTCCTCTCTTCCCTCCTTTTCAATCTGCTCAAAGTATCTGCTACCATATAAATGTACAGCTCTGACTGAAGCTTAACCAATAACTAAGGGGAAAAGGGGAGGAGTTAACGATTAAGAATCAAAGAGCACTTTTTTTTGGTAGAGGTAGAATTCCTTAGAAGGGTGAAAAACGACTAATTATCTTCCACTTTAGAAAAAAGCAAAATAGTCTCTCAGATTAAGCATCCCCCTCCAAATACTTTTATTTTTGAGGGTGATTGCCGCAGAAGGGAAAAGCTGACTTAAGGCTGGGAGAGGAATGTAGGACTTATCACTCCATTAAAAATCCATAACTCTCTTTTTTGAAGCAATGAGATTTAATGCAGGAGGGTCAAAAATTACTGCTAAATACACAAGAACTTGGGTGAGGGGAGAGCAAAGGACTAACCCTATTAAGGGTTGTAAACTACTTTTTTGAGTGGGGAATTACAAGAGTCAAGACTTTGGGGGCCATCTAGTTACCCCAACAAAACACTGCAAAGCATTTTTGGGAGGGCTAAAAGCACGGAAAAAGGGTCAAAATAGTTGCACTAAGAAGAATGAGTACTAATCAATTAATAATTGAAAAGCATGTTTTAGGGGAGAGGAATTAAATAAGGAGAGCAAAACATTATTGCTAAATACTCATGACTTAGGAAAGAATAATTACTTCAATTTAGGGTTGGCAAAGCATTTTTGGGGGAGGAAGTACAAAGTCAAAAGATATAAATATATCTCCAATTTGGGAGGAAGAAGAGCATAAAGATTATTTTGATCAAGGATAGCAAAGAACTTTTTGAGCATTAAAAATAAAAAAACCCAACAACCATATATGTTGTAATTTGGTGAGTAAAAAAGGAAGATTAATCAGCCCAATTAAGGATCCTTACAATGCATTTTTTTTTTGATGGGGTAAAGTAGAAATGCTGCAGGAGAGGGAAAAAAATATTACTAAATAGCTGCGTCCAGGGAACAGAGAAAGAGGTTAATCACCCGATTAAAAATCGAAAAGCACTTTTGGTGTTGGGGCCCTTAAGTCAGAAAAGTAAACAATTATTGACAAACTCTTCTAACTTTGGGAGGAAAAACGGCCAATCCCCTAGATTAACTGTGTCAAAAAAACTACATTATTTCCCAGAAGAATGGGTGTCAAAAGATATTGCTAAACGTTTGGGGGAAGCACGAGAGGAGAGGGAACCAATCACCCCATTAAGAATAGCAAAGCATTTTTTTGAAGTGAAAAGTGCAAAATTTTGAGGTGAGGAACAAGACTTAATTGCCCCAATTAAGGACAGTAAAGCACTTGGGGAAGGGGATTTAAGGGCAGGGTTAAAAGTTATTGCTAAATATTTGTGTGATGGGGAAAGAGAAGAGGGTTCCTTGCTCCAACAGACAAGTTAAATATTTTTCCCCCTTTTGAGGGAAAATGCAGTCAAAAACAAAGCTGCCACTAAATACTCATTACTTGGAGGAGAAATGTAGAGCACAAATCACCTCAATTTACAAATACAAAGCACTTTTTTAGAATTACAGTTGGAAAGGGCAAAATTGCTATCTGCTCATTTGTGACCTGGGGAAAGAGATAGCTAGGCACAGCAATTCAGTCGTGAATAACTCTTTTTGGGGGGAAGAATGAGCACGGCAGGAGCTGCTGCTAAAGACCAACGATTTTGGAGACAAGTCATTGACTGCAAAGCTCTTTTTGTCGAAAGTTACACCTCAAACTCAGAAATAGCACAAAACACTTTTTTTTTCCTGGGGAGGAAGAGAAACTCAATAGCGCAAAAAGTTATAGATGGCTAGATCGTCTCCCAGTATTCAGAAAGAGAGTGGGGTTCACCAGATACTTTTGGGGGGGTGCAACAGCAAAAATATCAACAGGTTATGGGTGAGCTTGGCCTAGTGGAGAGGAGCATAAACAGTGCCATTTTTGCCGCATGCACCCCCCACCCCCAGAGTTCGGCAGGCTAGGCTGCACGAGGACAACACAGCCCTCTCCTTCCCGCCCACCCCCACCCCGGGCACACACATGCCCCTGCCCCAAGGGGCGGGGGGGGGGGGACCCTCTTTTTCACACCTGTTTGAGTCCCAGTTGTGAAGGGGCTTGGCTCGGCTGGGTCCAGGCATGCAGTCATCATCGTAGTCCATGGGCTCTTCCTTGCCCACTTTGAGGGGCTGCTCCCAGACTACCAAGGGCAAGTTAGCATCATCTTCATCCTCATCCTCATCCTCATCCTCATCTTCATCCTCATCATCACTGTCATCTTCGTCGTCGTCCATGATCTTGTGGCTCGGTCCCGGTTTAGGTTCCCGCAGTCCTACCTTGGGGACCCTGATCAAAGAGGACGGTCCCTCTCCGGGGTCGGGGTCGTTGTCGGGGTCATTTTCCGGGTCATTGTCACTGGGATGGGTCTCACGGGGATCGGTGGGCTCTACTTTAATGGTTTTGTTCTCTACCTCGGGCTCCATCTCCTTCCTTTCTGACCTGCCCATCTCTTTCCCTTCTGCCCCGTCCGTCTCCTTGCCTTCTGACCCGTCCTTCTCCTTGCCTTCTGACCCGTCCATTTCCTTGCCTTCTATCCCCTCCATCTCCTTCCCTTCCACCCGGCGCCCAAGTTGGGCCACTTTGCTTACTTTTTGGGTTTGTTTCCCTTACTTTTCCGCTGTTGTCCGCCTTCTTTCTCTACGCTCGCCCACGCCCCCTTTAACTTTCTTGTCCCCCCTTTTCGGGTCCCGAGGACCCACCCGCTTGCCCTCGGGCACAGACGCCCCAAAGTGGAACGTCTGCGCAAAGAGCAAGGGGAGGAGGACTCTTTTAAGGGCTCAGGAGCTCACGCGTTCACCCGGTAACAGCCACGCGGGCGGGCGGGAGGGCGCTGGGGAGGAGAGAGGGCGGGAGAACAGGCGAGCGGGCGCTTGTAGCCCGCCAAGCTGGACCATGGGAACCGAGCGCCCTCTGCTGGCCACATACAAGCACACGCGCCACGAGCCACGCGCCACACAGACAGCAGCTCCACTTCCGGGCGGGGCTCAGAGAAGTACAGGGATCAACCCGCTAGGAACCTGGAGAGAGGGTGGAGGAGAGGGAAGGAGGGGGAAAAGAGTTAGGAATAATCAGTCAGGTGGGCAAGAACTCGGGCCCCGGCAGCCTCGGGCTAACAAAGATAAATGGTCAAAATGCTCCCAAAAGACCAGGAAGGATAAGAGGGGAAAACTAGAGGAAGCGGTTAGACTCACGAAGGCAGCAGGGTGGCCAGAGTCTCCTACACACCGCCTGAAGGAATGGAACCAGCCTCAACCAGCTCAAACCGGCCTAAGCGCTAGGGGTAGGGAGGGGAGTTAAAGAAGGCGGAAGCGGAAACCTGAGAACCGGAAAGCATTCAAGTAGGTCATTTCAAGGAGTATGACTGACATTTAATGGGTTAAAATAAGCCCGTAATGGTACCATAAAACAGGGGTGCAATCTTGGGTACCCAAGAGTGGCACTCTCTATCATCTACTTTACTTCCTGTAAAAGTTTACGGCACCCAACTTGCCTAAGCTGTCCTGCCAGAAAAGTTTCCGGAAAAGATGACGTAGTGGATGACCTGGCGCAATATGGCTGGCCAGGCTGTTGCTGGGGAAATTTTTTGTATGTAATACGCAGTACGTTGCCGCAATACGGCAGTGCGTTGCGGTAAAACGCGGTGAGGTAATGGCTGCTGAGCTGGCAGCACGTTCCTGCTGTCCTTAACGTAAGGTCACGTTGGAAAACGGAATGGTGTAATCACGCTAGAAGCTGGCGCTTCTGGGAAAGAGGGCAATGAGTCGGTGGTTTTTTAGAGGCCTGACCGCTATCCTGTAAAACGCTTTTGTAGCATATTTCACCAATTTTTTTCTGATGCCGCTATATTGACAGTGTGTACCTTTCTTTCAGAATCTATAGAGAAGAACAGCGATGTCCGATGGGATCTTGGAAGGTTGCCGGGAGTGTACAGATCGGTAGGCCGCCTTTTTCCAGCGACCCCTCTTACGCAGAATGGGTGGGATGCCATTGCCTAGGAAACGTAAATATGGACGCTTAGCTGGGGAAGCTGAGAAGTGCTTACGTGGTGAGGGCAGCACTTTCTGGTTCCCTGTCAGGGCATCATTCCGGCCACAGGTATGTCAGCGACCACAAAATGAATACTTATTGAGCGGTTCTTCTCTACCCGGCTTTGTACTGGAGATTGGAGGGGGAAATTCATGAGACGCATAAAGACGTGATTCTTGGGTAATTTAAGTAATGATACCGGAGAGGGGAAAATTTTGCTATGTAGAATATATTAGTGTGGTGGTCTTTAGGAGATAAGAAAGAGGGCTTCAGAGAGCTTTATGGAATAGTAAACAGGTATGGTTTTTTTGTTTTGTTTTCCGTAAGCAATTTGTTTCTCAGTCAAAAGATTTTAAAGAATGATTAGAATTGGGAGAGATTAGGGAGAGTCAGGTTATTTTGGGTAAAGAAAAATATAAGCAAAGGCAGGACTAAATATAGCACATTCATGAAATAATGAGAACAAGCCAACTGGAGTGAAGGCTTCCTGTTGGGAAACAGTAGTAAATAAAGCTGTCCACCCATCTATGAATGGGTTGGGCAAGGTTATAAAAAAAACCTAGAAAGTTATGAAGGGGAAATTAGACTTGATGCGTTTGCAGCAGGTTATTAGGAGTTATTGCACAGGTGAGTGATGAAATGCCTCTTTCATAATAGATGATTAAAATTTCGGTTCTACCAAAATGTATGAAGTCTTAGGCACTGAGAGGATTATAAGCTAATGGAGCAATAGGAGAGTACTGCGAGATAGAATGTAATAAGAATAGAGTAAAAATCCAAGTGCTCTAAGGAAATTATTGTTTGCATGAGTTAATGAAATGATGGATCGGAAAATTTTATCTAGCAAAGGATTGTTGTCTGGATTAAAGGAGAGAAGAGACTGGATGGTGGATAATTTTAAGGTTGACCGTGAAAGCAAATAGGATCCCTTAAGATTAGACTTCTTAAGCAAAGAAAAACCAGTACTTGTTCCAATACGAATTCCCTTTCCTTCCTCCCCAAATAGCCTCAAAAATAGAAAGACAGCTATGCAGGTCATTGAAAAAGAAAATTTGAGTTTTGAAAAGTAACTATTCATGTGTGTTGTAAAGATACCAAATTTGTTAATACTGGAGATAGAACTGCTGTTCAGTGCCTATTATAGGTGTTTGCTTATTGAAAGTAGCAGAGCAGTAATTAAAGATTTACCTGTGACAAAACCAACTTTTGCAAATCTCTGAGGGAAAATAATCTTTATGGCAAAGACTTTGTTATATTGCACCTGCTTTAAGGTTAACTATGTCCTTTTTTTGTGGGTCTTAGATTTCTAGATAAATCTGGTGTATACCACTCACTGAGAAGGATAAGTAAATCAGTGTCACCTTTGTCTTCTAAAAACCTTCAGAATCTAATGTTATTTTGTTCCTCATTCATTATGAGCATAGATAATTTAAGCCAATCAATTAATCAGTCATCACTGATTGATTAGTATAGATTTAAAGACCCTGTAGATTTAAGGGAGAGTTGTGAATTAATTTAAGTGAGAGTAGTAATTCTTTTGTAAGAATTCTAATGTTTATTTTAATGTGGATTAGGCATCTGGGAGAAAAAAATATTGTTTACAATTAAGAACTTAAATGTGTTGATTTAAGGTGAAGTATACTCTTGAGTCCTAGGTCCTGGAGGATATAAAAGTTGCCATCCTTACTCTCCTCATCTTGCCTTTAAAGAAAAATAAGGATTGATGTTTTGGGGGCATTTTTTAAAGAGGAAAAAGTGTGTTGGATGCTATATTAAAATACATGCAATGCAACAGCCAATTTATCAAGTACTTGTTGCTAGGTCTTGGGGGACACACAAGGATGTGGTTCCTGTCCTCAGAGAATTTATAGCCTAGTAGTGGGATAAAGTAATGTAGGTAATTATAATGCATATTGTTACCTGATATGTACTGTATTACAGAGTTACAAAACAATGCTATGTGTAGTATGAGGGGGAAGGATGTTAGGAAAGGTGTCTTGGAGGAGGTGATATTTGAGTTGGGTCATAACATATGCAGAAAATTCAATTAGGCAAAGAAAAGAATGGTATGCTCTGGTGAAGAAATTAGAGGATATATTTTAAAGTTACGGAAACTGTTACTTAAAGTGGTAAAGCTAATAAATGTTGGGTCCTTGAAGGTCAGGTTGAGGAGTTTAAAACAACGGAAGCCATTAAAGATTTTCAAGTATAAGAATGGCTTGAGCAGAAATCTTAAAGATTCACTTGGCAACTGGGTATTTTATGTATTGGACAAAGGCAGACCATTTCAGAGGCTGTTATACTCATTAAGGCCTGAAAAATGGTGGGGGAAATGAAAAGGAAGGGATGAACTGAAGAGCCATTTCAATAATAGAATTAATAAGATTTTGTGGAGAGCTAGAAAAGGGAGGGTCAAGGATGGTCAGTATTGAAGCTATGCCATCATGCATATGGGTTGAACTAGAAACTGAACTTTGCCCCACCCTGATTTTCCTGTTTCTTTGGCAATTTATGGTTTTCTTGTATGGTATGTGTTAAAATTGTTCTATGTGTTTTATGTTTTAAAGTGAATATTCAATGGAAGATGCTTATGAATCATTTTACTATAATTCTAGAACTCCATCAGTCATAAAGGTGGTAATATAAGATTTCTTAGTAGGAAGCGAAGTTAAGTCTTTCAGAAACCCCAGCATACATCATTGATCCTTATATAACTCAGTCATTTGGGCAGAGCTCCACTAGAGTGTACCCTAGTTCCGTACCTCCCGTCGGTAGAAACAACTGATTTACTCTTTGGCATTGAATACTGCAAAATGTTGTGCAACATTTGCTAGACATATATTTCTGTAATGATAGATTGTCCATCTTTAGAGATAATAGTGGTTGGTTAATCACATTCTAGCCTTAAATAACTTTTATAATTTTTTTCTTCAAATGGAGACTATTTGTTGGGGATAATTGTAGATGGGGTTACTTGCTCAGTTAGAGTTGGTTTAGATAGCCTCTGAGGTTCTTTACTACTATGAAGGTCTGTGATTCCATATTAAATATAGTCATTTGTATCTTTTAATGTTTTGCATAGTATATATTAAGAGGAAATGCATGTGTGGAATTTAGGGACCCAAGATGGAGACAGGGATGAAGACTGTGGGGGCGTTAGACTAAGTGTTTACCAACCGTCTGCATGAAATTCAGGAGAGGGCGACATGTGAACCTGACATGCATATATATGTGCTTATGTAACCAACTGCAGTGCCACTTGTTCCTTACCAGCAAGTCCTTACCTAACCCTTTACCTATTCCCCCCCCCAAAAAAAATCCTCACTCCTCAAAAGCCACCAAGGCAGATACTATATATTCTTTAAATCACAGTATTTTATAGTTTGCAAAGACTTTAAAAATTATCCATTTCAAACCTTTTATTGAATGCTATTTTTTGTTACCATTTACCAGCTGCATATCTCAGAGTGAAAATGTGCCACGTAACAGTTAATATTTTGGATACTCTACTTTCCCATGGCTAAAAGCAACAAGTTTATAAGTAAATATTTTGCTTAATTTTAATTTATTTACAGTTTATATCTGAAACAAATATTTCCCTTACTCTTTTCCACATTTGTTAACAGGTTCCTCTGTTAGAACTATTCCTTTCTACTTTTGTCCATATTTCATATTTGCAGTTATATAAATGGAACTTTTAAAAAAGGTTTCACTTTTAATAAATAAAACAAGATGGAAGTTGTATGAAGGTAAACAAGCAGTGGGAAATCTTCAAGAATTAGATTATTATTATTTAGATGGCAACATTTGTTGCCCTTGGAAGAAATATTTTCAAGCAAATGCTTTGTTCTTGCCAAAGACAACCATTTTGAAAGCAGTTAATCAGATTTGTAAGGAAGAACAAAAAAGGGTTCATGCCATTAAATACTTTGCCTTTCAGTAGTTGTCCAATAAAGTATATGCATTAGCTTAAGACAATGCTTTGCATATAAGTAGGCATTTTTAAAAAATGCTTCTTATATTTAATTAGATGTCTAAATCCAAATAAATTGATTAATGTGTTCCAGCAACTATTTTTTGTCTATAATTTGTATCCATTTGCTACTGGGTTAATCTTTCCCATTTGATGAATACAGTGTATTAATCACCTTTTTTAATAGTTTAATTTTTTTAGTTTTGAATTTTGACCTACAAGATTGTTAGAGTTTAGATTAACCACTATGCTCCCTATTATTGTGAATGTATTAAAACTCATCTTCAGGGAAATTATATTTGTAAATAAGCAGATTAGCCCTTCCTAAGCACTGGGGAGGTGATGATCTATTTGGTATTTGTAAACATATAGATAAACAAATCTGTATCTTTTCCTGTACTTTAAGATCCTATACATATAAGGTCCAAATTACTCATTTTAGTAATCTATGAAGTTCATTTGAAAATATTTGCAAAAATTCGTTTTATTCTTGAAACTAATGTTGGCAGTACTATTTTTATTAACCCAATTTTGATTTTATTCAAATGTTATATTAAAGATCTCCTTCCCAGTACAAAGATTTGAATTGCCTACCTTGTATGCAATCACTTGCAAACAGCCATCTGTGTGATGTGAACCTGCAAACATGACCTTCTCAAATTTGTGTCATACCACCTTTATCTAGCCACATGGTTTCCCTAATTGCCAAAAGAAGAAAATTGGTTGCTTAAAAAATACTTTACCAATTTCTTTTTCCCATCTGCTTATTAGGAGCTAAATTTATTAAAAATTTCAAAATATTTTTAAAAGAAAACTTAACAAAAGCAATGGTTGTTATGTTTTTTTTTCTTTTTAGGCAATTGCATCTTAGATACGGACATACGAAATCTTTCAGGAGGAAGACATTGGGAACTTGTTCTCATTTAGGTAGGTATTTTCTGCCCATATGCAAATCACCACGATTAGGTTTAGGGAGGAAATTATATTGCTTAGCTAGTTCTTAGCTGGATATTTGCAAATGGAATTTATATGCATGTGTATGATTAGCAGTATTATTTAATCTTTACTCTGGAGCTATGAGTGTTGGAAGAATTGTGGGCTCAGAAACAATCCTTTTCATACACAAAAAAAAAAGCCCTAGGCTCTGAGTTCAATGGTCTTTATATTCTTTCTTCTGCAGCCCTGGTTTAGTCTAACCATTCTGTAATTCATTGCTCTAAACTGAATAATGTTGAATTCAGTTGATTGTATTCTCCCAGCAGGCAAAAGTCATGTGCTGTTGTGCAGTTTAGATGATTAGTGTTGGGGCATAAATGGTTCTTCCGTTTGTTTAAACTGATGAATTCCTTGGGAGTATGATTACATACAACACTTAAAGATATAGTCACACTATATGTTACATCTAGTAATTAATCATATGCTTACATAACACTTAGTACTTCCTGTATTATACTTGATATAGTTTTATATCAGTATATCAGAATGTGTACACTCTGAAAGTCTGAAATTATAGTCTCAGATAGTCACAACTGGAAGGTACCATTTGATGCCCTCTAACACTCTTTACAACTCCTAAATCTATGATCCTATGACTTTGGCTTTTGTTGGGCTGGCCTTGTAGACAAGATTGACTAATTCTGCCTCATCATTTGATGGCTCATAAAGCAGAGACCTAGAGAGGTGAAGTAAATTATTCAGTATCACACAACTGGTGGAACCCAAGCCAGATACTCTGATTCCCAGCATAGCATTCTACTATATCATATTGCAGCTTCTTTTGAAGTTTCCCCGTGCACACACATATCATTTGAAATGTTCTGTACGTGCAAATTATATCTTCAAACTTATTTTTTCTTAGTTAAAAAGTTATTTTATGGCTAATATTATCTTGATTTCCTAAAAATACATTTTACAAAATCACTGCATTTGTCTTTGTGTTACTATCAATTTTTTATTTGTTAAATTCAACACGTATTAAATATTCATGCACACATGGCACTTCGGTAGTTGTTGGAAATAAGAAATGAAAAACAACACAGTCCTTGCCCTCAAGAAGCTTAAAATCTAGTAGGGGGCATGAAATGTACACAAATAATTACAATACAAGTCTTTTTTCTTATTTTGCGGGGGAAAGGGGTTCAGATTTGCAATTTTATTGGAATAGGGAATTACTTGTGAGGAAACTCCCTCTACTCACACACATGCTCAGCATCTCTTCAGTAATTTACTATCCTTGAGAGTTGCTTGGAGGCACTAAGAGGCTAAATGAATTGGCCAGGGTCACATGGCTGGTATGTGTCAGAGCTGAGACTCGGACTCAGATCTTCCTGCTGCCAAGGCTAGCACTTGAATACATAGGGGAGAGGTAAGTGTGGCATGAAAAAAATTTAGTAGAACAGGTTACCTCTTGTTTGGAGGAGAGCAGTATAAGGAGAAGCATCAAAGATTATAGGATATTTGAACTAGATTTTATAGGAGAAGAATTATTTAAAAAGATGGGATTGTATGTGTACATGTTGGGGTCAGAGGGAGGGAGGGATGGGGATCCATTTCAGACATGGGGGCATTTGGGGAAGAGTACAGGATAAAATCAAAGAATAGTAAATAATTCAGTTTATTGGAAACAGAAAACAGAAGGGATTAGTAATGTGAAGAAAGGCAAGTTGGAACCAGATTGTGGAGGTATTTAGTAAACCCTGAGAAGCTAACAAAGTTGTTTGGCAGAGGAAGAAGGTAGGGGGCTAAAAGTGTAAGAAAGAGGCGATGGGAACCTGAAGAAGGACAGTAGTAGCGGCATTCAAAAGGAGGTGATGGATGAGAAAGAGAGGAAAGAGAGAATCAGTAGTTCTTAGCAACTGATATGGCATGGGAAGGAAGGGGAGTGGTGAGGAAGATGAGAAAGTCAAAATTTGTTCAGGGGTCTATTCTTCCCTTAGAAGCACTTAATAGTGCAGAAGCACAAAAGGAGGTTTTCCAAGGTTGAAATTATGGGAATGGAACAATGGAATGTGAAAAGGGGTAGGGATTCAAGAGCAGAGTGGAATTCATGAACAAAATTATTTGAGCTAGAATAGCTAGATGGACCAGGAAAATTAGAGGGTTCAAAGGAACTAGGGGTCAAAGAAAGACATAGCAAGTTCAAAAGGAATGAGGATATGGAAAGTAGAAGGACAAGGCACTGACTAGTTAGAGAAAGAAATCTGAGAATTCAGTAATTTTGGGATTCATTAGTTTTGAGTGTTGCACCAGTAAATGACTGAAATGTAGTGAGGCTGGAGATCAGTAAAAATTGAAGAGGTTAGGGAACAGAGACTGAACATTCGAGTTGTCATCAATACGAATAATGAGAACATAGCACAGGAAGCATGTAAAGTGACTTGTAGGTTAGTTGGTGGCAGTGACAAAGATCAGAAGAATAGTTTAATTGAATAGTTTGAACTTTAGAGAAAAATAGGTTTTTCAGTGTTGGTAACCTAGTTAAAGTCTGAACATGGCAGTGGGAGAGTAATTCTTCCTTTTGGCACAATGAAGCAAGGGAAATAGGAGTGGTCAGCAAAGGATTCAGGTTTGGGTTAATACCAAAAAGGAGAAAGAGCGTAAGAGGGAAGAGTCTGAGAATAAAATGGAGTCTATTGTTGACAGGAGAAGAGGCGTTGCAGAAAGGGATCCGGAATTTGGAAGGGTTTGCTGAGATGGGTCATGATATTACTATAGGGAGAAGTAATGGAGAAAAAGACTTGTGTCTATTGGGATAAAAGAGATGAGAGGAGTAGGAAGATAGAGGTAAGTTTGTTAGTCACAGAAAAGGAAGAGCAGTGGGTAGGCAGTAACTCAGTTTCACAATTCTAATTAGACTGTTCATATGATGGAGCCTTCACTAATCAATCCCCCAGGTGGCTACCAGTGGTTTGATTGCAGCCAGGAGAGCCAGTGATTTGGGCTCTGGAACGGGAGCTGAATTGGTCCTATACCTTCAGGAATGGCTTCTCCAGGTAACTGACAGTTATTGATTGTACCTAGGCAGGACTAAAGGTTTTGACACCTAAGGAGGAGTATGTTTTTTTAAAAATACTGAAAAGAAGCTTTACTTAAGAGCTTTAATAACTTAAGTTATTGTGTTTGTCAACCCAGCTAATTAAAGGGCAAACCAAAATATTGAATTTTAATCAGTGCAGATATTATCACATCATTTGGATCCAGATCTATCATCTGTTCCACGTATTTTGGGGGTTTGAGTCCAAACTAGGGGTAGGCAAATTAGACAGGGTCTAGAGTACAACCTGTAATAAGATATGATAAGAGAAGTATTTTAATGTAATTCAAAAGATCTGTGATATCATCAGTGTATGGGTACTCCCTCTAGTGATGTGAGTTGTAATGCCATCTGTGCTTTAATAGATGGCTTGATGAGTCAGTGTGCTGCCCCCACAAAAAAAAAGGCAGCTGGTAGCCATCTTTCTGAGGAGCCTTGCTGAACTTAGTTAATTCCCAAATGACATTAGTTCATATTCAAAGCTGCTAACTCAGTAGGACCTGACTGAGGTTTTGTTCCCTAGCATAATGTTCAAGAACCTAGAGTCTGATATTTAATGAAGGGTCTAGATATTAATATTTGTAAATGCCTATATTTTAATACCTCCATCTCATGTATTATAGTGAAGACTCTATGTCTCCTGTAGAAAGAAACATATGGGGGAGTATAGTTTTTGAATTTTGTTTGGGGTGTTGGTATGCCTTGCTTAATCTTTGTTTAAGAATCCATGCTTTTGCCCATAAACCAACCCCTTCCCTTCAAAGATTTGGATTCAATTCCTGGTACGTACTAATATGAGAAGATTTTCTATTATTTCCCAGTTCACTTGAAACAACCACAGTGACCTGTTATGATCAGTACTGTAACCAATACTCAAATTATACAGAGTTTTGCCAGTTAAAAGAGATATTCTAATATAGAGGGGTAGCATGGTGTAGTTATTACATGAAGAACTGGCCTTGGAACCTGGAAGTCCCTGTCTCTGATGCATACTAGCTCAGTAATCCTGGGCAAGTCCCTTAACCTTTCAGTGCTCCAGGCAAATACCTAAGACTAATAAGTTACAGAGAAGGGGCTGACTGGTATTATTAGGGGAGTTTTCTCTTCTGAGAGTTCCCAATACCATTTAAATCACAGGACCAGTTCCTATCCCCAGTCCCTGTTTAAATACAGCATAAAATATATCTTAGCACCATTGAAAATTGATGGTCAAAAGGAATGGTTTTTAAAATCTTTTTTCTAAAAAATTAAGTGAATATTTTTGAACCATTAAATGATTGCTTTTAATGGCCAAAGAAAAATAAAATTATTGATATTTGAAACGTGAATTGTACACATTCACAAGGGGAGGAAATAATGATAAGATGTTCTTAAGTCTCATTAGCATTGATTATGTTTAGGAAAACTAGTTCAGGTATGAAGAATAGAGTTAAGGTTAGTAACTGTGGAGTAAAAGAGGAAAACCAAATAGTTGTATTTATGCCTTAAAAGGCATGTTGGGATTCTGACAATCATTAAGTCTTTAAGGTTTAAAAGAATTTCCATAGATTGCAGTAACATGTCTTGATGTTATGCCAAGTCAAATCTAAAATATTCTGCTCTAATACTGTTTTATTTCTTTGGAATTATGATCAATGTATACAATTGTTATCCTGCTGAAGTGTAGCTATGGAAACATGTCATGCAACAAAAAGTTGGTTAGCTAAATTAGGGAAGGGCTTTGGAAATTTGGGAAGTATTCAATTCATTCCTTAAGAATTGCTTTGTTATTTAATATATGCTGACAAGGGTCAAGTTTGCACTAACATTGCTATGTAATCCACAAAAAAGATAATAACTAAGGAAAACTCATAGTTTAATAGATTATATCTATTAGTTTCCTTGTTGTTGCTGCTTACAATCAATTTAAAAATAAAGTGTTCTTTTTTTTTCAGTAGACCTTCAGTATACCTAATATTGTTATTACATTCAAAAGTAATATAACATTTTAGTGACTTTAAGTCAGTACAAAAGAATTGAAAGTATTATGAATATCATTTTCTTTCTATCAACACAATTATCCAGTTCTTTCAGTGTCACTACTGTCCTAGCCACCAAGGCTAAAAATGAGAAAAATCATCCTTGATTCTTCCCCCTCCTTCAGCCTTACATCTGATTTGTTCTTTCCCTTATACCTACATCCCTTGGGCCCTAATTTAGGCTTTCACAACCTTTCACCTGCATTGTAATAGTAGCCACTTCACTAGTTTTCCTCTCACCAGCTTTTATCCTTTTCAATCTATTCTTTTTGTTAAAGTAATTTTCCTAATGTAAAAATATGAAAAGATCATTCTCCTGTTTATAAAGCTTCAGTGGCTTTCCATTGCCTACTTGAATAAAACATAAAATAGAGCTGGACATTTAAGGCCCCCAGTAGTCAGGCTCCAGCCTTATTTTCTGTATTACAATCAGTACATATTCTCTGATCTCAACCAACTCTTCCGAATGTCTCTTTCTATGCAGGTACTATTTTCTAGGCCTGGTACATCTCCCATCTAGGGAAATCATTTTCCTACTACTATTCTAGGTTCAGTTCAGGTGCCACTCCCTCCATGACACCTTCCTAGATTTCTGCAGCTAGAAATGATCTTTCCTTCTCTCTTCCTTATCTTCCCTTCCTCCTTCCCTCCCTTTTTCATGGAATTCTCATATATCTCCAATAAATTTAAAACTTTTCTTACTTATACCATAGTTACATGAGAACAGGTTTCATCTCCATACAAGATTATAAGCTCATTGAAGGTGGTAACTATGTCATTTTTAATATATGTGCTTTGCACATAGCAGGTATTTAATAAGTTAGTATTGCTTTGACTCAAACAAATATAAAGAAATATCTTGAGTATTTCTTGACATTTAATAATAGTTATAGCTTACAAAAAATTTGAAAGTATGCTAACTTAAAAGATAAGTTTTGTTAGATGTGCTTTTTGTGTAAATACATGTTCATCTCTTCATTTAGTAATTCATCTATTCAACAAATATTTATTACCAGTTTTTCCTCTCATTGTGAAAAGCAGCCATTTGATGGCTCAGGAATATTAGCTCCATTTTCTAGGAAAAAAAAATACTTATAATGCCACTGCTTTGATCTTTATGCTTATCAGCTGTTTCTTTGTTTATAACAAAGAAGAAAAGAAGCATTCCTGGCTCCTAATGTGATATAGAGTCTGTATGTTATTAAATATCTGTAGATATTTAGCTTGAGTACTGTTCACAGTTACCATCACAAAATATCATTAAAAAGCTGTGGCTGTTTCAAGTGGATTGGGTAATATTGAAAAATCCATTTAAGTCTACAACAGAGCAGGAAATGGTTCCATATCTGTTCAGTGAAAAAGTGCTAGTTTATGGGTGAAAGTATAGAGACCTAGTAGAGCTGGAAAGGTTTGAAAATTGCACCCTACTCTATGTTCCTGTCCTGGAACATGGAAGGCTTTTACTTAATTTGACTGACCACAAATAATACCTACAGGCTATGGACTATGAAATAATATATACATATATATTACTGGGTCATGTTATTAATAAACCATCTTTGTTGAAAGATTATAATGAGTGTTTCTCATGTAGAAATAGGAATTTGAAATTTATTCAAAATTCTGATAATTAAAGATGGCTATTATATCTACTATAAACATAAGGTCAGCAACTAATATATTATATCTAAATTCATTGATTCAGTTATATATCTGTAAATTTTATCTAGCAAATCTAACTAATGGTAGCAGTAAACATCTATCATGGCAGTCTGATACAAAAATAAAATATAATTGATCATGCTTAAACAGTAAGCCTGATAATTGTACCAATGAGAAGAGAGCAAAATACTAAAATTTAGAAGTTAAATGATCATTTTAGCTCATCTGCATGTCATAGAATTAAAGTAAAGTTGATTTCTAAATAGGATCCTACTTGGTTGAGACAAAATAAAAAGTCTACTCAAGCACTTTTTTCAGCTTTTACAAACACATAGAAATACATAAACCCAAGTCATTGTTACTTCCACACATGTCTATTTTCAAGCACTTCATATGAGGGCTTGTGGTAGATAAAGGTGGGAACTAAATGGGGCTCCTGCCATCCTCTAACTACCATTTGACTTTCCCTTCTTGCACTCGCTCCAAACCATCCACTACTTCAAACTATGTGGAGGGAGAAGAGGAGTGAAGGATGAAAAGGTAAGGTGGGAAGGTAGGGATGAGGGAGGGAAAGGTAGAAAATGGGTTTTCTTGAGGGGTTTACTCTGATAAATTGAAGAATAGAATAAAGAGTGACAGAAGAAGCTGAAGAACTCTGTGTCCTCATTTATCCTCTCTTCCTTTGCTCCAGTCTCAGATGAACAAGTGACCCTCCTTCTTTACCAAGGCTAACCCTGACACTTGTGGCCTTGATCCCATTCCTTCTGATCTCCTTGCTATATCAGTGATTCTTATCTCAATCTCTTCCTCTCTTAGCCCTTTCCTGCAAACAAACATACTCAAGTTTCTCCTATCCTTTAAAACAAACAACAACCTTCCCTTGATCCTGTCATCCCCTCAAGATGTTGTTCTGCATCTCTCTCCCCTACTCTCCCCTTCACTGCTAATCATATAGAAAGATTAGTATTCACTTGTTGCCTCCACTGCCTTGCCATCCACTTACTACTCAGTCCTTTAAAATCTGACTTCTGACTTCACTTGATTCTGAGATTGCTTTCTCCAACATCACCAAAAACTTTCTAATTGGTGAATCCAGCGGCCTTTCCTCAGTCCTCATTCTTCTTAACTGTTCTACAGCATTTGACACTCTGAGTCCTTTCTCTTTTCCCTTGGTTTTCTGTAACACTGCTTTCTTCTGGTTCTACTAGCCTGATCACACCCGGTTACCATACTGGTTTATATTGTCTTTCTTCAGAACCCTTAAGTGTGAATGTCCCCC